GAGAGGACTGAAATTTCATTTGTGCTGTATGTCGTGCATGTATAGCACATGTGACTATAAAGCTGACTTGATGACTGTAAACCTTTCTAACTTAGTTGCAAAGTGTATGATAATGGGCGTAAGATATACAGTTGGCATTACACTTGTGTTACTGGTGACCAGTCAGGTCAGGTAGTGGTCAATGGCACTATTGACTGTTCCAGCACTAGGGGAATCTTTAAAAACCTTTTTAGCAATATTGTCAGTAATTTAGGAAGACTTGGAGTTCTTGCAAAACGATTCCTAAGCTTTTTGTTCTATAAAAGCCAAAGTATGTTTGTGAATGTTTTTAATGAACTTTACTAGAAAAAAAAAATGAAGGAGAATGAATAGTCAGAACTGGACCAACTGTTTGTTGTTGTAGTCGTATTAATAATAGTGATGTCAGTTAGATTTGGTTTGAACAAAGCTATAGAATATCACTACATCTTACCCTTTCTTATGCTCAGGAGTGCATACACTACAGGTTATTAACTCCTTTTTAAAATACAAAAAATGCAAAATTATCAGTAATCTGACCATTAGATGCAGGTAATTATCAGTTATTGTATCAGCTGAAAAAAAAATCCATATTGTGCACCCCTAAAAAAACATCAGCTACTGAAGATGTGACTGGTGGGAAGTTGCGCCGGTCAGAATTTTGTGAACTTGCAAACTTCTATCATCAACTATTTTATATTTAGTACAAATAGCTGCTGCAAAAAATTTCTATGTCATGGCAAATTTTTTTGACATGACATTGCAGAGAAACCACAATCAGTTACCTAATGAAGGCTGCGTTCCAGCGAGGTGTTCCAGTTCCAGGGCCCTGAGGTTTTGCATGCTGTCTCACTGACGTGGTGGGAAATGGAACAGCAGCATAATTAATATGAATTACTCTTGTACTTTTCAAGTCAAAGGGCTGCCATGAAAGACATTAGAAAGCATATTGACTGGGCAGAGTTGTCTTTTGAAAAGCATAAAGTGGAGGAATCTAGTGTTTTATCTAATGGCCTCTCTGGTAGCCAGCCAGATTAAGCTAAAATTAACAAAATGCAGTTCAAAGGAATAGACCTTTTTCTGAGCTAAGTTAGGCACAGTACCTACCTCCATAACAAACGCAGACACAGTGGTTCTTATACATAAAGGGATGAAATTATTTATTTTAATCATACTTAACATACCTGTTACATACTGTATACGTCCATTGAGATAACTGATTGAGATTAGTTGGTGAAGGGAACACTGAACCTGATAGGCGGGGGTGGATCAAGTACTCAGATCTTTTACCTAACTAAAAGTAGCCATATCACAGTGTACTCTGTCACAAATAAAAGTTCTGCATTCATGTCATTGCTTGACAATGTACATTTTCAGTGAGCATTAAATAAAATAAAATGTCCCTTTGTGTGTGTTTGTGTGTGTTTGTGTGTGCGTGTGTGTGCGTGCAGGTAAAGGAAAGCCAGCAGGTGAAACTGGCATTCTCAGAGCAGCTCAGCAAATTGCAGACCAAACAGCATCAGGACACTGAACTGCTGGAAGAGATCAGGTATAATACTCTGTCACCAAACTGTGGTTATGTGCATAATATCCTCCCATTGGATTCAATGAGATGGACGACATTAGGCAGAGAGATCTATACAGACATGGAGGTGAAAGCATGTTAAATCTGCCTGTTGATGTTGTTTTTCTGTGTTGCCCAAGGTCCTTCAGTAAGCAACGTGCAGCTATAGAGAAAGAGTATGGTCAGGTGAGTGCTATTCTAGTCCACTATTACTCCCCTTACTGGAACCTTTGGTTTTTACTGGAGATGCTCATCATTTATTGATTTGAGGTCCCATATCAGTACCTGAGTGCTGTTTTGTTATTTGGTGCCTCTTGTGACACTGTGTGTACAGTATGTGTGTTATGCCATCCTAAGTAGGGATTAATCTGTCTCTCTTCCCTTTCCATATTTCCATTTGAGCTGTCTCACTAGATGTTCCAAGGAAAGAGAGAGAGAGAGAGCTTTATGTGTTCCTTGCACCACGGGGGAGAATGTGTCACATATGTGTGTCCACACTGACGCTGACAAATGTATACCCAGCTTTATGGGAGAGGAATAAAGAAAGGATAAAAATGCAATATGCTGTGTTGTAAGAAACTACACTTCACGAATAATTGCACCCAACTGAGTCATGAAAATGTCTGACACTTTAAAGGTGCAGTGTGTAACATTTAGGTGGCTCTATTGGCAGAAATGGAATATAATATGCATAGGTATGTTTTCATTAGTGTGCTTTTGTTACCTTAGAATGAACCATTTTTATCTACAGAAACCGCTGCCATGTTTCTACAGTAGCCCAGAACAGACAAACTGAACACTGGCTGTAGATAGGGTCTTTCACGTTTTTCAGCCCATTTATTGGTTTAGTTATCCCTAAAACAAAAGCTCACTGCTCCTTAAGCCCCACTTTCACGAAAATACACACACTTTGTCTAGGCTTAGGCACCAAAATGACTTGGTTAGGTTAGGAAAAGACTATTGTAAAATAATAACATGAGTTACGTTGGTGGCACCAGGGTGTGTATTCGAAACAATGGGCGTTGTTTGTTTTTGGGGTAATGAACTAAAAACAGCTTTTATGAAAGAGCTGTTTGTTCCACTAGTTATTAAACTGTGGCCGAACCAGGTTCTCAGTAAATGCACCTTAATTGTGTCTTCAATAAACTACATTTTACTTTATTTTCTTGCCGTTGTGATCCTGTGTAAACTCTGCGTTTTCAGGCTCTTCAGAGATTAGCTGTCCAGTACCAGAAGAGAGACTGGCAAAGAGGAAATACAGATACCATCACTTCTGGGTAACTACACACACATAGGCCTACTGTAAGGCTGTTTTCTGATTCACTTTTTTGTGGGTGATTTTAGTTTCCAAAACTAACCATAGGCTGATGTATCTGGCTGCTCTGGTGTCATTTTCAGTAAGTATGGAAAGTTGCAGTTTTACAGGTTCACCAAGAACAATGGTTGATTTTGAGGTTATAGCTTATATAGCTAGCTACAGAACGTTAGGCAAGCAGTGTAGGCACACATGCCATACTCACATCCACCAAGGTTTGCCATTTGGTGGACTTACATAGAGAATCATTATTGTCTGTTAGTAATGAAGGTGCGGCAATATAGGACTCTTCATTGATACATGTACAGCTAAACGATGAGCAAATGCATGGTTTCCATTATTAGGTGTACAAATACTTACTACTATAGTACGTGGGGGAATGTGTCCAAATGTGCTAATGTGCTACATTGTGGCTGTGTGTTTGGTCAAATACACACATATTTTCAGAAAAGTGCTTGGATGTACACTGTTAGCTTTTAAAGAAAAGTGTAACATGTGTGTGTGTTTTCAGGAGTGTATTTGGTGTGTGGCGGTCAGTGGTAGATGCTACAGCTCAGTCTGCCACATCACGACTTGCTGCTGCAGAAGAATACCGCAGACTGATTAGACTAGCCTCCCGAACTCTTCGCAATGCAAAGGACATCCGAACAAAGAGAGTGAGAGAGCTGCACACAGTATACACACACACCAATCAAATACTCAAAACACACAGCTAACTTTGCTTTTTTATCATTGCAACACATCGTGAGAATGAAATATCTACCAAAGGACCCTGATGGCTGCATGAATCATCTGCTGTGTGTGTGTGTGTGCGTTAGGGCTTGGAGCGGCTCCAGAGGGTGCAGGGGGAAGTGGTGGAAGCTTTGCGGGAGCTGCACAGGATCAAGAAGAGCTACCACCAACTCAGTCACATTGCCAGTGTTGCCAGAGAGAAAGCTGCTGATGCACAGACCAGGTCAGTGTGTGTGACAGAGGCAAAACAAAACAACAAGCAAACAACCAAAAATGATGATGCTGACTCATGACAAATATCGGTGATTTCATTTACGAAGACGCACATCTTGTACATACAAGCCATATGTGTGCCAATCGTGTATGTTGAAAAAGGCACTAGGAGTTAAAGAGCTCTGTAGATTCTGTAAAAGACAGATACAAAGAAGTAATGAGGTCCTTTACAGCCTATACTGTACAGTCTGTATAAGCTAGAGAAGTAAACTGCAGGGAAATAAACCTACATTATTTTTAATGGCCAGCGGGTGGCACCTCCCTTGGTCAGATAGTACTGAGTCTTATGGAGAA